CCATATCTTGCTTTTAAAGTTCTAGATATTACTACTCAACAGCAAGACTTTTATTAGTCATTTCTAAATTCTTGTACTACCTAATGTAATGATTTTACATTTGATTAGCCTGGTGTTTTTTTTTCTTTCTGCAACTTTAATTTTTAGCAATTTTCTCTTTTCTTTTCATTACTGTTTTATGACCGTAATTTTGTTTTGATTACTTATTTTCTTTAAGATGTTCTTATCACTGTAGCATTTGCACGTTGCAGCAATCATTTCACGTTGCAGCAAGCATTTGCACGTTGCAGCAAGCATTATTTGTTTTATGATAATCATATTTGGTGATGCGCAAATATTTTAGTTATTGATTAGTGGAAGAGGTGTAATTGAAGTGATATTTAGTGGTTTAAATTGACATATTTAAGCCCAATTTCATGACCGGAGTTCTTTTAGTTTGCAATTTTTGAACATATGAATCGAATATGATTAAGAATGTTGTTTAGCAATTAACGTGGAATTTAAATTGATTTTAAAGATTTTTGAGATACAGCGGTAATGTAAATCTGACATGCAAATTTTCCAGTTTTACCTCATTTTATCTATGTTTTAGGTTCTGTCGAGATCGAACAAAAGAAAAGACCGGAAATGGTAGTGCATACGACAAATTCTGATTCGCGTAAAACAGATATTGAAACATTGAAAGATGAACTGCGTCGGAATACGCCATCTGCACACATATCAAATACCACTTTTCAACAGGCACTAAATCATTATTCAAATTTACTGAAGTGCTAATTTTAATATTGATAGCAAAGCTGTTACGATTTAACCTTGTCCTTTTTGCCTAAGGCAAAGCTAAGGAAGCTTTGGAAAGGTCTTGAGAGGGAATAATCCGATATTCGCATATACCAATAATTGTTCAACCAATTTGGTTGGCTCTGTTGAGGTTTACACTTTATACTTAATTGATAATAGCCATAATAGTGTGCAATTTGTATTTGTCTTGAGATTTCCTTAATTTTATTTCCTTTTTCAGGTTCCGGATATTAATCGATCACTAGCCTCACCATGTTCACCTCCCGATCAGTGTAGGATACCTCAATCAACGCTTGATAACAAGTTATTCACAATTTCACCAGCCTATACACCTTTCCCGTTAAACGCTGCGGCAGTGGCAGCAGCTGCAGCTGGAAATCTTCCGGTAGCGATTGCTGCTGCAGCTGCTGCACAAACGGCAAATCCATTCCTCTTTGCTGCTGCATTAGGATTACAACAACAACCACAAAATGCATCTTCGACATTTCCATGGATCACAAATGCGCAATCATTCACAGCGATGTTACCCTATCTTCAGCATTTGCAGACTCAAGTGCAGCAGCAAGCACAAGCACAGGTAATTGCTCTGACATTTAAGGAAATGAAGTAATAATTGTTCTCTTTCATTTAATCTGTGATTATCTTTCAAATTCCTGTCATAATTTTCATCATTTCTATCACTTCCAGGTTGTATTAGCGCAGCAAATAGCAGCACAACAAGCTGCAAATTTACATCAACAATTCAAAACAGTCGCAGCAGCTGCAGCAGCTGCTCATACTTCATTATTGTCTCAACAGCAGCAGCAACATCAACAACCGCAGCCGCATTCACAGTGGTTGTCCCCGCCACCGTCTGTTCCTCCTCAAATTTCCACCCTAAGGCAAACAGCAACCTGTCCATCACCATTACTTCCAGCAGGTGCTGAATCAACATCATCCTCACTGTTGGAGCTTACTGAATTAAGTCCACCACTTCATCCTGAACCACAACAACCACCCTCACCTCCAGCATCATCCAGTTCATCGTTATACAATGATGAGAAACAGCAGCAGCTGCAGCAGCAGCAGCAGCAGCAGCAATTTCTGTTCGATGAAGATTTGATGATCGATTCATTGATGGAGGAACGAAAAGATTTATCTGAGAAAGAAAGTATCGCTGTCGCCGTTTTAGCTGGTATGGCTGCATGTCAACGATAGACAGACGGCATTATATTTCAAATGCTTCAGTTTTTTGTTAGCATTTTAAATCATTCATTATCTGGTGTGAATACAATGGTCATGAATCATTTTAGCATTTTTATAAGTAATAAATAATTATGAATTTGGTGGTTGGAGACTTTTGGCATCATGAAATTATGAGGATAAATATTTTTCAATTTTAATTTATCCATCATTTCAAATTTTCAAATTTAGATTACGCTATTGGATTTAGGCCATGTTGAAACTTCAGATATTAATTTGAAGTGTTTTTTTTTTCAAAATGAAGCAATATTTTTAATTGTTTTCAGTCATCAGTACTAAGACTGAACGCTTTTGTTCTTCATGTTAGCTTGTACATATAAAATTAAACAGAAAAATGCTATGAATGAAAACGAGCGAGAATAATGACGGTTAATGTATGTTTTATGTATTATAAAATACATAACACTTTTTTGTTTGTCTACCTTAGTTTTATTGTTTGATTGTTTTTTACCGATTGATCTTTAATATCGAGAAACGGTTTCATTATATTTTACATATGTGTTATATTCTTTTCCTTTTTGAATGATTTTTTTTCTTTTGTTTCTCATAATTTTCTTTTTCTTTCCGTCTTTTTGCCTCGTAGCATTAAATGCTTGAGAAAAAAAATGGTGCAGAAACGACAGCGGTCTCTGTACATATATAATTTCGTGTTGGTTTCGGGTTTTTCTCTTTTTTTTTGTTTTCCGTTTTTTATTTCATTCAATTATTTTGTATTCACATCCAGGATTGCATAGTGAGTGAATATTAGAGATAAGAAAAAAAGGGAAAAGAAATCAAGTTGTAAAATTCTGACCTGATTTCCATTTACACTGAATGAATTAGCAAATTTTAAGAATGAAATTTCTGGATATAAATGTCTAATGAATTATCAATGCATAGATCATAATTGAATAAAATGAATTCAAATAGAAAATTTTAATATTTGCTCTGGCATTTTTTTGCGATGTAAGTGTTAAGAGATGATTGAAGTGTTTTTTTTTTGTCCTTTGAAAAATTCAGGATTTAAAAGAAAGAAAAAAAGGATTGTTCGTGTGATAATTTGATCTAAGCAAAAAGAGAAGTTATCGGAATAGATATTACATTGCTTGATTTATGCGCAAAAGTGTCATTGTCATTTTTGATAACAAGAAGAAAAAGGCTGTTTAAATGTTTGGAAAATTCGATAATTCGTGAGAATATGATAATTAAGGGACGAAATAACTATAAAAATGGAAGAATTTTACATCTAATTGTTTGTTAAGGACAAGAATTGAAAACGCAGGAATTTTTTTATTCATTGTTTGGTTTCTTTTTTTTTTTTTTTTACTTAGCAATTGATATTTCGAATACGAAAAAAATTCTGTGAATTTATTGTAATGATGATTTTGTTTTCCCACGTGACTCTTTTATTTTTGTTGTGTTCAATACGGTGTTTCAAATTTCTCCTTTTTGTGGAGTTTTTTTTTTTTTTTTTCAAAAATTTTCAACTGTTCAAATTTTTTTTTTAAACTTTTCATTTATATGAAAATATAAACTTTGAGAGTACTACTATCTTCATTGTTATGTACATAATATACAATATAAACGTCCAAGAAGTAAACGATGACATAAAATGAAAGTATGATTGTTATCTCAAAAATTTATTTATCACAGTTCACATGTTTTACATATGTAAAAGAGGGAAGTTCATATTTTATACATATCATATCCACATGTTTTACATATGTAAAAGGGGAAAGTTCATATGTTATACATATGATACTATGATTAATATAATGAATGCTAGAACCTATAGAAATTATTGATTTGTAGTATTTTTCATTTTTCTCTTTTTTTTCTATTTTATAATACTCTTAATGGAATTCTAGAATGGATCTTTCTTTCGGCAGTTAGCATTTTAATTTCACTACATGACTTATTCCATTTCATTTTATCTAATAATAATTAGCTAATTTGGTTTATTTGTACGATTACGATAAACGAGAATGCGTTTAATAGAAATTGAGAATGCATTAAAATAATAAGGATTGTTTATAGGTGAAAAAAAAAAAGGCGAAGAAAATATATTACTTTTCGTGTATGCATGATGTGTACTATGAATCTAATTATAGTAATGGTGGAAAATTTGACATCAAAATTTTACTTAAATATTCGTAGCATTGATGATTTCTGGTGTTTTATTCGAATAATTTAGTTTTCGTATTTTTTTTTTTCCTTTCCGAATAATTTTGTTACTTTCAAGAACGTAAGTTATTATTTTGATTTTGTTCGATGCTTATTCACTTATAATTCGTTATTTCGTAGGTGTCCAATTTTTTTTTTTTCACAATTTTACAGTTAGGTTTGTGAGCTATTTTTGATGTAATCGATCATGAATATATTGCATGAGATGAATTGGTGATTAATCTTTAATACAAAAAATAGAATAAAATTGAGAATATTGCATGTTGATGGTATTGGAAGAAGGTATGTGTATTGGGAATTTATCAAAAAATTATTAAAAAAAGAATTTGACAAGAAAAATGAGAGAATCAAATTAGACGATATTCTAATTTACAGTGAATGAAAATATTGTAAGAGTGAAAGATTTCTGCTAACATTCTATTACATTTCTCAAGAGGTCATCAGTCATACATACATTTATGGCTACAATAATACCAGGTGAAGCATCGGAAACTGATGATGATGATAATGATTACGATGAAAATAGCACGAAAGAAATTAATCCTACTAAGCAAAATAATGGAGAAATAAGGTTTTTTTTTTTGTTTAATAATAAAAGAACAAAAATGAAGGATTAACTTGTTGAAAAATTAATCTTATTTTTTCAGTGAAATTATTTAATTAATTTTACTGGGAAACGAATGAAAAATGAACTAATTGTTCAGTTACATTCAAAATAATTAATTTTAATTATTGATAGGGTAAGTTTTAAAAAAATTTTTTTCATTTTTCCATAAAATAGGAAGTGAGAAATTTCTAATTTGCATGATTAATTGTTAATGAGATATATTTGTAATTACACTGGACATTCATAATAAATTGTAAAAATTTCATTTAATATCACTATTATTTGATAAAATTGATATTGTTGCATGCTGAATAGAATTGTTTGTTGGCAGTACAAAATTAAATAAAAGCAAATTTTAATGAATCAGTTCTTTTCGTTTTTTTTTTTTTTAAATCAATTTATTGATTCAAATTTTAACGTTTGTAATTTTCGAAGAAAATTTAAATTACAGAAATTGGAATTTGAATGAAGCTCAACAACGATCATTGAGTTTACATGTTGATGAGAAATTGGAAGAACGCTGGCGATCACTTGGTTACAATACAGTTAAACTTGCTGAACGACAAGCATTTACGCAACGTAAACAATTTGAAATTTTAAAACAAAATTTATCCAATGAACAAAATTCTATACAGGTACTATTTTAATTATACTGATAAGATTATAATTGTGATACGATTAAAATTGTTAATAAATACAATGATTTTTCAAATGACAGATATCAGTCATTTCAAAAAATCGAATAATATTGTTATTTAAAGTGATAATGAATGTTTTATTGAAATTTAACAGCAACTCAAAATATGGTTGATCTTCTCTGATTGGCGTAGATAAAATATATCATTTATAAAACTTCCTAAAATATTGTTTCCTCTTTTGTTGCTTTAATATCTTCCAGCTATTAGCGTTTTTTTTTTTGCCATATTATGATATGATAAAATCTGGGGAGAAGAGAATTACGGAAAAAAATCAATTTATGAAATTTTTTTGATGTTTCAAAATTAATATAAAATTAAATTTGTGTATCAACCAATATAAACATTACACTATAGGTCGCCAAAAAAAAAGTCATCTTTCAGAATTTTCCTTATATTTGAAAGAAATATTTTTTTTTTTGTATTTCCTGGCTAACTCAAATTTTCATCATCTGAAATTTTCATTATTCTAAATCATTTATGTCATCGAAATACTATCTGTTTTTTTGATCGCACTATTACTTATGTTTTTGTTTTATTTTGTTGTTTTTTTTTTTCTTCACTGAAATGATTTTAAATGAAATTTCACATTTTTAATTGATTTTTTTGTTGTCTATAGCCATATAATTTTCAATATTCTTATTTACTGCGAAAAATTTTTCCAAATATGATACATGTATTTTAATATAATCAAATATGAAATAAATGTAACATTAAATGAGATAATTATCTTTCATCTCATTTGTCACTTTAATTCTATCATTTAATCTTTTCCAAATTACTTTTTTTCCTAAATTCTTCTTTTGAATATCATTTTCATTATAATTGTTAGGAAGATATTGTAAGAAGATAAAATGGAATTAAAAAATGTGAAAAAAAGGAATTCAAATGAAAGTAAAGCAGATGTTCTCTCTTTTTTTTTGCTTTAAAAATATATTTATTTGGAAATGTGTAAAAATGACTTTGATATTTTCGCACGATTGAAAAATCATCCATTCATTCATTTTGTAAATAATGTGCAAATTATATATTGCATATTTAATAGTTCAGAAAAATTATTGGAAATCAATTTATTTGTTTAGTTTTCTTTCTAAAGGCATTCATTTATTCATTTCATTGATTTTGGTATAATTTTAGAAACGTTTCGATTATATGCTTTATACTTTCTTTTTTTTTTGTTTTTGCATAAATTTTTAGTTAAATTTTGATAAAGTGTAATGGACTAAAAATTATCAATAAAAGGATTAACTGATAACTTCCAATTCTTTTAAGTTTATCTTAAATTAGACTTTATTTCATTTAAATACGCTTAGATTTTGTGTATAAACAAAAAATGTTTCTCTTTCATATTTTTATTTAATCTGAAATTTTCTAAAATAATATCTCATCCGTATTTGATATTATCCAATAAATTATCATCCTTTTATCGTTGAAAAATTTTCGAATTAAATTTTATGAGAATCAAATTTTTGTTATACTTTAGATTGGAAATATCATTTCCATTTTATTTAAATTTTATAACTGTATTGCATATATGCCAAAAAATTATCATAATCAATAATTGCAATAAGATTGTATCCCTTCATTGAGGTCATCCTTCTTTTTCTTCTCAACTTATCGGATCACTCTTGCCGTAATAAATGTTCAAGGTCAAAGGACAGATATTGACTAATCCATTTTATCGTATTAGAAACTAATCTCCTAAATGAATATCGAATTATTTTAAATGTGAATATTTTTATTTTACCATATCAATATTATCCTCGTCATTTTCATTATCATTCTTTATTGCGTTATATTATCTCATATTTTCAAGCAATATTTTCCACTTCAAGGAATTTTCTCTTACTCTCTCTCTCTCTCTCCCTTTCTTTCTTACCTTTCATCGATTTATTAATTCTTTTCAAATTCTACTTATTCAGATTTATTCATATAATTTTTTTTTTCTTCCATTCTCAAATATAACAATATCAATTTTTTTTATTCTATTTGTTTTTCTTTATCTTTCTCTCTCTTTCTCTCTTCCTCTCTCTCTACCTCTCTCTCTCTCTCTCTGTCTTGAGTATGTTTTTTTTTTTCTTTCTTTGAAAATATATAAATAAATCATCCGTTTATTATCAATAATGTCAGCAAAAGAAAAGGAACGACTTGAAAAGAATATCTGAAAAGCATTCATACATTTTTCTTTTCATCATTTGCAACCATTTTTATTCCTTTTTGCTTCTGCTATAATATCGCTTAAAATTCCTTTCTCTAAAATTTCTCAGAAATTCAATCTTTGACCTTTTTCTCAAAGTTCAATCTTGACATCTTCTTTTCAAGATTTGTTCAAAGTTCAATCTTAATCTATCACTTCAAAATTTTTCAATGTTTAATTTTGATGCATCCTTTCTTTTTGAAATTGCTCAAAGTATGATTCTTTGTTTTATGATTTATCGGTTTTATTGAGAAGAATGAATGAAAACAGAAAGAGAAATATGACTAAAAATGAAGGAAGAAAAAAAAAGAATAGCTTTAGAAGCATTACTGAAATGTAATATTGAGCTGAAAATGTTACATTGCTCTCTGCATATTTACTTTCACACTGTTATTTTTAAGAAAATTTCAAAATTCACCATTCCCTAAAGGCTTTAAAAATTCATGAAATACCAAATGCTATTCCAATGCTATCCTAAAATATGAAATGCAAAATACAAATATGAAATGCATATGAAATGTGAAATGCAAAATGTTTATTTTTAGGAAAAGAATTTTTTAATTTTCTTTAAAAAAAAAAGTTGTATTTGTTATGTTCAGTTATTGTTATGATTAAAAAAAGCGATTATTATTATTATTGTTTCAATTTATTACTATTATTATTAAAGCTAGCAATTAGTATTATTTTGACGATAGTTATTTCCAGTTAATAGTTCGAGTAAAAAAATGAAATGATAAATTAATATAAGAACTGAAATATAAATTAGTCATTATTACTGGAAAATAATCACTATAATTATTATTATAAGCTAACAATTAGTAATTATTTGGAAGATTTGGAAGGTTCACTTTCAGGCTATTTCATCAACTTTTCGTCAAGCTGCCGCAAATTTAGGACGTGTTGAGTGGAATTTATCATTGTTGCAAGAAGGTGCCAAATTGATACCCGACTTTTCAGCTTTCTCAATTAATACCAATTCTTCCAAGGAATGAATAAAAATTTGATTACAGTTTATGTATTTTTTTTTTGTTGTTATTGTGAAAAACTATACGCATATTGTTTTAAAGTAATTTTGAAAATTAAATCTTTCCAAAGTTTTAATTTTTTCTTCTTTAAATTTCTAAATAGCAATGGAAAGTTTTTTCTTTCTTTAATAAATACCTGAAAATAATTTGTAAAATTCATTTAATAAAGTTGAAATTTCGGATATTTTCTTTTTTGCTTTTAATAAAATGAAATCTTTTTCCTACAATACTGAAATTAATTTGATGAGAAAAAAAAGGGAAACCATTGGGTTTCTAAATGAGATTATTGTATTTAATATATTTTAGAAAACGGAGAAAAGGAATTATGAGTGGAAATTTCATTTTAAAATTTCCATCATCAATTTATAGAATTCATTTTCACTCATTGATGTTTGTGAATTTGGTGAAAAACAGTTATAAAATGTAAAAAAAATTGATATTTATGATTGATTTGATATTTGCAATAATCATTTCAAGCATTGAATTACGAAAATTGGGAAAAATTTTTGAGGAAAAATCAAATAAATAATTGGAATTTAATTTAAATCATTATTTAATATGTTAAAAAAACAAAAATAAAGCAAAGTTTTTTTTAAAAGAATGAATCACCGATCGTTTGAGATAGCAATGAGTGTAAATCATCTCGAAAATGCTTATTATTCATTTACATATCATTCAATTTGACAAAAATTTTCAATCATTTCATAAATTCTCATCAGTTCTACTATCATTTGCTTTTCTCTTTCATCTATTAAATTTAAAAAAATTTGAACTGTAACAATTAGACGAAACAAATTTGTCATATCAATTTAATTCATTTCAATCCAATTCAATCCAATTTCAGCTTTTTAATATTTCATATTTATATGCTATCGTAGAAGTTTTAACATTTATATGCTATTCTAGAAATTTTAATATTTATATGCTATCCTAGAAAATGTATCCGCCTTCTATTGATTTATTTTTTTATTGTTTGTTTAAATTGCTCATTTTGCTATACATTTTATTTAGTCGTATTGAATTTAATTTGACTGAATTTAAATGATTTATAGCAGAAGTGTAGTAAGTTTTGTTTTTTTTTTTTTTGATGCAAAAGTTTACATCTGATCTAACTTTAGCAATAATCAATCAATCAATTCAATCAATTTCTTATAAAAAATGAATTCAATTCTGAAAATTTTAAATGAATTCAAATGAGATGAATAAAATATATATAGTAAAATATTGCGGATAAAATTTGATGATCATTCGCATGAATGATTTATTAGTTTTCATGTAGAAATTCTGTAAATAGTAATGAAAAATGAGAAAATATGTGTAAAATGCTTGTACCACAATATTTTCGTTTTCCAGTTTTCAATTATGATATCAATATTGCTTTAGCTAGCTGGTTTTGGCTTTCATAACATTTTATGCAAATATTTTGGATAATTTTTTATCATCTTTAATTTTTCGAATTTAAATTGAAACAATAAAAGGATTTTTTGAATCATTCCAAAATTTTGGTATTTTTAAAATATTTTGTGAGTCAGAAGGTCGTATTATTGCAGGCTTATACTGTTTAATTTTCTAATTTTTTTTATGTTAATGAAATTTGAAATAAGTAATTTATGAAAAGGGAATGTTATATTTTCCCGAATCGTAAATTCCATAAACGCTAAGTAATCGAAATAAGCTGAAGCAAAAAATTATTCAAAATATTTTCCGAGCAATCAGCTAATAAATTAGCTGGCATCATTTCTCGTCCTGAAATCAGAAAATTTGTCGAAATTAAAGATATTATTAATAATAAAAGCATTTTATATTAAGCCATTTTTGATATTTAGAAATTTTTATAAAAAATTTATTACAAAAACTAACAAATTGTCCATATAAAATGATATTTGAATCTTTTCCAGTTTAGAAATAATTTTAAAAATGTGTAATCCCTTTTCTATTATACATCCTTTTAATTTATCTTAGAAAAAAATTTTTTTTTTTTGAACAGAGGAAATACGATCATTCTGATATGCTATACGCATCATTATTTCTTATTAATTATTTGAAATACACAACACATCAAAATTACTAATTAGAGCTATTGAAATGATAAATATGTTATTTAATAAATAACTGAAAGTTTTTAAAATGTAACAAGTACAAATACTAAAAAAAAAGCAAAACAAAAAAGGGATGATATATTTGTTCCAATTTTTTATTTGTGCTAATATTCATTTTTTTTTCAAAATACAACAAAAATTTTACAATTTGGAAACAAAATGTCAAAATGCATAAATTAGAAAGTAAAAAAAAATAAGTTTGGTCAAAATTTCAAAAAGGAATATTGTTTGATTTTTGAGAGAAATTTTTTAAGTAAATATTATTTTAGTCTCCTAAACATTAATTTTTTATTGTATCAAAAATTTTAAATGCTTTTTGTAGTTATTCCTCTAAATTAATCATTGCTAATATACTTTGCTTCACAATGACTTTCCACAATGATATGTTACTAAAATGGATATATGAATGTGCAATTTAGGATGATATGTTTGTTAATGTCAATATTCAAAATGTTAAAGTAGTTTATTAATAGTTTGTTAATTTACTTTAATATCAGTAAGGGAAGTAATAAATAGTAAGTATGATAAGAGATATATTACTAAAAGTAGAAGTACAAATAAAATGCATCATTTCGGAAATGGTTATTTGAAAACTAGAAATTTTATAAGCTATTTGTATTTGCTAATTTTTTCATTGCTTCGAACGTCGTTAATATAAATTGATAAAGACTGATTTTAATGTATTATCGATAAAAAAAATTCGTCGTAATAAAAAAAAAAAAAAAACGTGCTTTACGGCCATCGATAATGAGTGTAAATTTATAAAATTCGGGAAAAATTTTATTCTTTCAAAATTTGTTATAGCATTATTTAATATGTCAGAAGATGATAAACATAACCCGAATCCGATCACTGATAATGATTGTAAAACTGATAATGTTGGCCAACCTATTGACATACAACTTGGAAGTAAGCTTTTTTCTCTCTCTTGGTTACTTTGTAGGATAGTGATAATTTTTAATGCAATAATTATATGAAAAGAATAGAGAAAAAATAAGAATAAAATTTAAAAAAAAAGAAATTTAGTTTGATAAAATTTATTTTTTTTCTAAATTTCAAATTATATTTTTAAAAAAACAACAGGCAATATTTCGAAATTTAAAAATTTAGTTTTGTTGCATCAGTAGTACTATTCAATGAATTAATCAATAATTCTTAGTTTAGTAATATATTAAATGATGTTGCTTTACCAATATTGTGCATAAATATTTTCATAAGTAAAGAAGAATTCCAAAGTTTAATAGTTCCATCTTAGTAACTTAGTCGATTTTACAAATATTTTTTATGTTTAATTAAAAACTTCAAACTTTTCAAAAATTCAAATTTCCAAGAACAATTTATAATTTTTTTTGACTAACTATTTCACGAGAAAAAAAGAGAAAGAGAGAGAGAGAGAGAGAGAGAGAGAGAAGGGAGGATTATAGATTTTAATATTTTTCCAATTTACTTGTTTCTTAGCGTATATTTTTAACTTTTAACATTAATTGTTAAGCTATTCAATTTGTCTGAAATTTAAATATTTAATTTGAAAAGAATGTGGAGAAATTCGTTGTGGTGAAAATATCGCGTATGTTACGGTTGGTATAATTTTCCGTGAACGTAACGATGGTAATTTGGAGTTATTACTTATGCAAGAAGCAAAACGGCGATGTTTGGGAAAGTTAGTATTATTATAAATACATGTATAATTTGCAAAAGGGAAAGATTTCCATTTGTTTGTTTTTTTCTTGGTTTTGGAATTGAAAAATTAAAATTTGTAATAAATGATAGAAAATGAAATTTGGTATGTTAATTATAATGAGTGTTTAGGCATTTGAAATTTAAAAACTGAAAAGAAGTAGAAAATTGAATGTGACAAAAAATAATTAGTTATGCATAATAGTTTATTTAAGTGATTCTCAAGTAGCTTTTTGAAAATGTGATAGAAGTAAATTCAGCACGAGTGACAAATAGGTTAGTTATATTTGAAATATAATTTTGCCAGAATAGCAGTCGGGAAAAGTTTTCAGTGGCATTCGGGAATTTTTGCAAATTTAGGCAATATCTTATAATTAAATATATTCATCATTTAAAATTTTG